GACCTGGGAGTATCTGGGCAAGGGGTCCAAGACCTGGGTCCTCACTCTGGCTCTGCCATTGACAACTGGTGGCCTAGGGTGATGCAGGGTGGGAATGCTCCTCCCTGGGCCTCACCTGGCTGGCTCGCATGTCTTGAGACAGACATAGTAAGCATCTGCTGCTAACTGAGGCTGCTTTTCTCTGAGCTGAAGCTACACCTCAGCCCAGGGAAGGTTTCCTGGGCCAGCTGTGGTGAGTGCAGAGGAAGGAGACAGATGTGTTATATAAATAAGCCAAAGGACAGCAGATGAGAACAAGAAAGGAGGGTGAGATTGCTCCCCAGAGAGGTCAGGAGGCCAGGCACAGGCTTGGCAGGAGGGCCAGGGAGGGGCTGAGGCCTGTGGGTGGGACTCCAGCTCAGAGGCAGGAGGAGTTGGGTTCCAACCTTGCTCTACCATCATCAATCAGTTTGACCCTGGGAAGGCCACTGTGGTCTCCAAGCTGAGCTTGGCCATCACCACGCTGAACATTGTCAGTTGCTGTACCCGTGTGAAGAGAGCCCTGGCTCTCTCTTGCATTGACATTTAAACACTTTTCCCAGAAGTCATCTCACAGATCCTTCATGCCACCCACAAGGGGGCAAACGGTGTCCCCTTTCCTGTTCACTGCCTGAGTTCCCTGCTCTCAGAGGCTCTGAGGAAGTAGCCCAACTCCCTGTGGTGGCAGGAGCCCCATCTGGGTGGTCCTGCCTGGCAACATCCCCTGTCCCATGACCCCCTTCTCTGAAGCTGAGCTTCAGTTCCTCCACCCGCCCCATTTTCTCTTGCTGTGTGGAGTTTGCAGTGCTGTTCCCTGTGCCTGGAATGATCTTCCTGCCCCTCCCTCTCCTGTGTGGCCTCACTGGCTCCTCTGCATCCTTCAGCATACTGCAGCTAGAGGCCTGCTTTCCTGGGAGGCCACCACTGGCCTCCAGCTGGGCTCAGTTCTTTGGCCTGTTGCTCTCCATTTAGGGCTATGTTTGTATTTCCTGAGGGCCATCTTGGTTTGACCTGTACATTTATCCATGTGACATTTGCCTGACCCCTGTCCCCTGTACTAGAAGGCATGTGCCATGGGATCCCCTCCCCCAGCCTCATTTCTCAGCAGCCTCTTACAGCTCTCATTTCTCAGCCTCCATCATCCCCACCAACGTTTAGGGCCAAGTTCAAAGAAAACAAACTTCTCTTGAACCCACATCCACCTCCTGCCCTCTCGCAGGCCATTTGTTTCCCATTCAGGGATAAAATTTATGAAATAGTCAAAAATTTCTCCATTTTCTCACTCCCCCCTCCCTGTTCAGTATGGATTTGGCCCCTGCTTAGGCCTCTCTAGGGCACTTATTCTCAACTTGACTGCATGTTCAAAAAAAAAAAAAAGGAGTAGATCTTTAAAGAAAGTAGGGCTGGGGTGTAGCTCAAAGGTTCAGCACTTAACTAGCAGGTGGAGGAGACCTGGGTTCAGTCTGCAGCTGAGCCTTTTGTTCACTTACACACACACACACACACACACAAGCTAGGCCTGCGCCCACCCCCAGGATAGTGATATGAGTGATCTAGGGCTCGAGCATTTGTGACTTTCTAATGGTCCCCTGGTGCTCCTAATGGGTTGAAACTACTCCAGGGTCTCCAGTGTCTACATTCTTAAACCAAGGGGTGTTTTTCTGCCCGCATACCCTTGACTTCTGGGAAGGCCTGGCTGTATGTGTTTCCTGTAACAAATTACCACATATCAGGAAGCCTAAAACCACAGAAATTTATTCCCTTATAGTTCTAGAGGCCAGAAATCCAAAATCAGGGTGGCAGCGGGGCTATTCACCCTCTGAGGACTCAGGGGAAGGGGTCCCATTCTGTCTTTTCCAGCCTCCGACAGCACCAAGTACCCTGGGCTTGGCACTGGTCTCTGGCTTGGTGATCACAGTGCTACTTCCTGTGGGGTGCATATCTCTGCCTCTGTGATAAGGACACAAGGTTGTGTCAGGGCCCACCAGGTTATCCAGAGAAAGTACTTTCTCTCAAGATTTTTGATAGTCCCATATTCTGCCATATAAGGTCCTATTTTACAGGTTCTGGGGATTGGGCTATAGACAGCTTTAGGGGAGTCAGCATCGAGAGCCCACTATGCTGACCTGGTGGGCACTGCTCCCCTTGACGTCCGATGGCCAGGCCCTGCTGCTCATCAGGCAACTCTGTCCCTCCCACTTCTGCCTCCCTGGCTCAGCCCTGGAGTGCTGGCCTGTCAAGGCCTGGGCCTAGGCCCAAGCCTCTCCTTCCTTAACGTGCTGTCTCTGACTGCAGCTGCAGGTGCCATCTCCCGCCTGGGTCTCAGAGCGCCTTCTGACCCTGGTATCACTCTGTCTGTGAGACAGTTGACATCAGGTGACCTCCCTTCCCTGAGCCTCTGCTTTCTCAAATGTCTCAAAGGTGACTCTGGCTGAACCAAGCCAGCCCTGCCACTCTCCCCACGTCCCGTCCCCATCCTTAGGATCTGGCTGTCTTCCAGGGCTCTCTGCTTTAGGCTGTGGGAATCACCACCCACCCAAGCCTACTCTGAAGTGTTTGTTTCCTTTGATAGCTTTCTGTCCCCATTTTCCCCTGTCTACCTCATGACAGGGGGTACAAGCCTCTCTGTCACCCTCTCCCTCTGGCCAGCTTTGAGCCCTGCATGGCTTCTCCATGGCCTCAGGAGAAAGCCCAGCTCCCTGTGGCTGCAGAGCCTGCCTGGCTGGTCCTGCCCTGCAGTACCCCTCTCCCAGGACCTCCTTCTCTGAACCTGACCTTCAGTTCCTCCATACATCCCATTTTCTCTTGTTCTGTCTGCCCAGAATGTTCTTCCTGCCTTCCTCCCCACTCTTGCCTAGTTAGCTCCCCCGGGTGGAGCTTAGGGCCTGTTTCCCTGGGAGGCCATCACTGCTGGCCTCCAGCTGGGCTCAGTTCAGAATATGGAACTATCTTGCAGGATTTATGCTTGTGTTTCCTGAGGGGCCATCTTGGTTTGAGACTGCACATGTATCCACGTGACATTGGTTTGATACCTGTGTCCCTTGCTGGACCGCATGTGACACAGGAACAAGACTTCATCCCTTTTGCTTTGGTCTGCACCCCTAGCACCCAGCAATGCTACATAATTTTTATTAATTGATTGATTTTTCTGTTCTGGGGTGCTCTACAACCCAGCTGCATCCCCAGCCCTTTTTAATTTTTTTTTTTTTTTTGAGACAGGGTCTTTCTCCGTTGCCCAGGCTGGCCTGGGACTGTGATCCTCTTGCCTCAGCCTCCTGAGTTGTTGGGACTCCAGGTGTGGGCCATCTAACCTGGCACTGTTTTTTAGTGAAAGGTGGCGGTGGACTCATGTTTACCTTTTGCTGTGTGTCGCTGTGTGTCAGGTGCTCCAGGTGCATTAATGTGGTTGACCTCATGAAGCCTTAGGAGGAAGGTATAATGTTCTTCCCATTTGAAAGATGAGGTTATGGAGATGCAGAGAGTGGTGACTTTCTTCAGGTCACATGGGAAGTGAATGGAGAAGCCAGGATGCCAGCTGTCACTGCGTGATGCTCTCAGAATAGTATAACTGCCTCTGTTATATCTTCCCCATAGCCTTATGAGGGTTAAGGATAAGAAAGTAGAGATTCAGAGAGGGGAGGATACTTGCTCTAGGTCACACAGCTGCTTGGCAGATCTCTGGGCTACAGGGTCATAATGCTGAGTGTGCTTTAGCCAGGGGTGGGAATTAAATTATTTGGTCAGGGACCCAACAGCTAACTTGACTCCAAGTCTGGGTGTGAGGACTGCTGTTCCTCACCAGGTGGAAGACCTCAGGAGAGATCTGAGCACCCTGAGGTCCTGCCTTAGGAGACTTGGCATCTCTGGTCCTTGCCAGTCCTGTGGGCCCCAGCCAAGTCTCCTCTGTAAGGGCCAGCTCCCTAGTTGCTGCTCTTCCTCACCAAGGCACCTCACTTTCTTATCTGGGCCTCCAAGTTCCAGAGGTGATCCTTTTCTGGTGGAGATGTCAGTGGGGATTTTTTTTTTCTTCTTCTTCTCTGGCCTGGGAAGTTTTCTCTCTGACCTGGAATAGGCAAAGTCCCTTAGCCCACGGTCTCCCGGCACCTTCCATGCCTCTTACCAGCTCACAGTGAATGCCCTGGTTGAAAGGCAGGGGCTGTTCCCCTGGGGCCATACCTAAGTGCCACAATGTCTTTTATAAGTCCTTACAATTTTTCTTAGACAAGGCGGTGTCAAGTCCCATTGTTTTTGAATTGAGGAAACTGAGGCTTAGGAGATATCAAGCACCTTGTCTGAGGTCCCACAGCCAGAGATGGAGCAGCACTAGGTGTAAAGCCAGATGGGTGGTCTCCAAGCCCCTGCTGGCTTGTGTCTTGGCTTTGTGTACAAGATGTGAGATGAGACTGAGTCCATGGGGAGTGATCGCCAAGACCACCAAGTATCCAGTACCCTACCTAGAGTACTAGAAAGACCTCGTGCTGCTGAATATCAATCCCCCAACTTGGAGCCTGAACTTTTAAATGTGTTACAGGTTCTCACTGTGGTATCTGTAGTCCTTAGCCCTCTCTGCTGAACTTGGATTTGGTTTAGTGAGGTGGCTGAGAGTAGGAGCTATCTGAGAGGTGGCTGGGGCTCAAGGGTTCCCACTGGCTGGCCTTGTGGTTAAGAGCACAATCTTGGGAACTGGCTCTGCCATTGCCTGGCTGGGGTTAGGAGTAGGGCCCTGGGTCAGATGCCTGTTGACATTGCTTGCTCCATGGCCTCAGACAAGAAATTTAACCTCTCTGAACCTCAGTGTCCTCAATTGTGAAAGAGAGATAGCAGCTGAGCCCACCCCATGGTGAGGGTTAATTCAAAGCATGTGGTCAGTCAGTGTCCAGGCAGTGGTGGCCAGTGGTCCTCATGGTTGATGTTAACAACCCCTGAAAGTTTATTCAGGCACCCATGGGTGTTTCCCTCTCTCTTCCCTCTGCCCCTTGCAGGTAGAACTGCATGTCCACCTGGATGGAGCCATCAAGCCTGAAACCATCTTATACTACGGCAGGTAAGTCCATAGCCAGGAGCTGCCTCCCCAGAGGTTGAGGGAGTCCACGGCTCCTCAAAATTTCCTAGAAAAGTCCAGGGTCACTGCTTTTTATGGATCCTTGTGGTAATCAAGCCAGCCCATGGGCAGAAGAAGGTGGTCTGTGGAGACATTTTCTCTCTGTGCACTTGGCCTCTATGGGTTAAGGTCAGGTAGGGCCTCCTTCTGGAGCTGTCTGGGAGATGCCCCCATCCCGCCACTCCTCTCTGCATCCTTCACCTGTTTGCTGCCCACTCACTGTTTGGAGCTGGAAGGACTCAGTTCTCCCCCATGATCTTCAAAAGTTCAGCTCTGGATCTAAACTTGCACGTTCTATCCTGTAAACTAGAATCCTCTCAGGTGTCCAGTCACCTGCCCCTCAGGAGAGAACTAGTGGCCCTTGAGAGTTTGTCCCTGACTCGGGAGCACCTCTTCCACCTCCCCAAGACTGTTCTGGTGAGCCGCTTCCTCCACCTTGGTGTTCTTCCGGTGACCCTTTGCCTGGGAGGCTGCTGGTGTGATTTCCTCAGCTGTGTAACACGGGCACACTGGCATTGCTGGTGCTCCACCCACTCCTCAGCGCTCTGCCTCATCCTCTCGTGAGGTGGGTACTCTGGTGCCCCACTTCATAGGTGAGGACACAGAGCCATGGCAAGTGCAATAGCTTGACTGGTAAACTCAGGGCAGAGGTTTGAGTAGGAGGTGGACCCCAATCCATGTCCCCCACCATTAAACATGCAGCTGGAGGTTTTGGAGAGGTAGCACAGGAAAATCCACTTAGCTCAGGGCCTCCCACCCATAAACAGCTCAGGACGATTGTGTTATCAATCAGCACCTCATGGCTGCAGCGAGTGGAGTGAATCTTGGGCTTATTTCTGCCTGCCCTTTGCCAACTTGGCGCTGCCAACTATTGCCACAGAGCCCCAGAGGGGTCCTCGGTGAGACAATGAGGTTGAATCTAATCACCACTGTGAAGGGGTCAGAGAGCGCTCATTAGCGAAAGCATGAAGGCCAGAGTGCAGGGGCAGGGTGGTGGGGAAACGGAGGGAGGAGTCAGTATGGCGGCTGATCTGATTTCCCGTGTCTCCTGCCACTGCCACCTCTGTGGACCCGGAGAGAGGGTGGGCAGGTGCCAGCTGGAGTTTGGCCTGGAGTCAGCAGACAGGGGCCTGGATGTGGTTGTGGAGTTGGCAGGGCTGGAAGGGGGAGCCACTGGCCTGTGGCCTGCAGATCCAACCCATGGTGTCTCCTGTCTCGGTGACTCTCTTCTCACCCTTTCTTCTTCCTTCAGCTCTGGCCTCCTTCCGTCTTCTCCAGGGGCCTCTTTCACCTCTTCTCAGTCTCCTTCACGACCTGTCAGCTTTCTCCAAAGCACCACTCCGAACCTGGCCACTCTCTCTTCCTGTTGCTGTCTCTGTCTCTCTCTTGTCCCTTTTATCTTAAAAGTGGGGAAACTGAAGCTTAGGTTATTCCCTTGGCCCTGGGAATAACCTCCCAACTGTGTACAGATGCCTCCAGTGTCCACTCTGGCCTCCCCATCTCCTGGTCAAGGCCACCATCAAAGTCATTGTCTTCACACAGTCTGACGGCTCGTTCACCCACAGGCTCTGTAGGGGCCAGTAACTGGACATGGACCTATGGAGGTGACCTTGGGGCAAGCTGGCCAGCAGTGGGAGACTGGACACTGGGGGTTATCATAGGGTGCCAGGCATCTGTCCTCTATATACCAGGACCACACAGAGTCACCTTGTCCCTTACAGTAAACAGCCATAGATGGCTGACTGGCAGGCTGGTGGGCACCCACCTGACCTGGACAGTGCCTACTGGGTCCCCATAGGGAACTAAGGCTACCAGATAGGAAGGGGCATATTCACAGGGGCTTGGAGAATAGGCAGTTGTAAGAATAGGCATCTTCAGTGCTAGTGACGCAAATGTGATAGGCAAGCACTCTACCACCGAGCCACCTCCCCAGTCCCTTGAGGTCCCTTGAAAAAAAAAATCTTATTTCAAGGATGCAGCATCTTCTCAACTCCCTAAGGACATTCCCTCTAGATTTTTTTGTATGTCCTCTTCTCTGCTTTGTTCCCTGAGTGACTTTTATCTGCTCTTGTTTTCTCTCTCGTGTTGGAAGCATTTCCTTGGTTGTCACTTTTCTCTCTCTCTCTCTCTCTCTCTCTCTCTTTCTCTCTCTCTCTCTCTCTCCCTCTCCCTTTTTTCTTAAAAGTGGGGAAACTGAAGCCTAGGATGAGCCCTGTGCCAGGGTCCGGGTGGGACAGGAGAAGGAGGCAGGAGCACGTGCAGAAGGAGGCGGCCCTGAGCTGGCACCACCTTCCCATAGTCACAGGGGGGCAGGGACACCATTGGGTAAAGGGGGCTCTGAGCAACAGGGGTATTCTCAGCAGGTTGCCAAGATCCAGCCTGTGCCAGGAGCTGGGGGAAGGAGGGGACAGAGCTCTACACTGGATGGCCAGCTCATTGAGACCTTCTACCTCAGGAGCTGCCACACACCCCCTCCTAGTGTGCTAGACCAGGCAGGCCACTCTGATGTGCCATCCAGGAGGAGGGTGGAAGGGGAAGTCCTGCCCCAATTCCTGCCTCAGGCATTGTGAGGCTGCAGTTATTGCCCCTGATAACCCCTGCCTGGGCACAGGACCAGCTGGCTCTAGTCACTCCTGGGGCTTGGGAAGAAGTCCTGGGCTGGTCCTGGCACTTGCAGATGCTGGCCCAGCAGGGACGAGGAAGGTATGTGACATGGAGACTTCAACCCCTGCTTGTCACTCTTGAGATCTGCTGACTTCCCCTGGCTTAGGGCCAGAAGGTCTGGGAAGAATTCCAGTCCTGATTCTCTAGGGGCTGGACCTCGGTTTTCCCATCTGTCTGAGGGAAGGAGTTGGATGGAGAGTCCCTGGGTTTCCTGCTAGGCTCCGAGTGGAGTGTTCCATCCCACCCCGTCAGGCCTGGCTGGATCCTCCACCCTCACTGTCTTCTTCTCAGGAAGCGAGGGATCGCCCTCCCAGCTAACACGGCAGAGGAGCTGCAGAACATCATTGGCATGGACAAGCCCCTGTCTCTGCCAGAGTTCTTGAGCAAGTTTGACTACTACATGCCTGCTATCGCGTGAGTCAGCCCAACCCACGGGACCCAGGGCAGTGTGCATCTCTGTGCCTAGCACCAGGTCTAGCCCTCAGCCTCTGGGAACCACAGAGGGGCCTTTTGGACACATCTCTCCAATGTCTTTGGGCCTTGGTTGTCCCTTCTGAAAAGTGGATGTGATGAATGGAAATGCCTGCAATGTCTACAAAAAAGTGGCAGAATATGGGAGTTAAGAACGCTGATGCTAATCTCAGACTCTGGGGTGGAGTAACAGCAATATTGGGCAGTTACCTTCTTTGGGCCTCAGTTTTCCCATGTGTATAATAGGGCTGGCATTTGGAAGGGACCCAGCACTGTCCTCAGCAAATCCTTCTCACTTGGAAGATTGGAAGATAATTACTCCCTCTGTAGACACCAGGCACTGGGGCCTGTGTAGTGTAGCTCTCATTGCTTCCTTTTTCTTTTTTTGCAGAACTAGTGGTAGAACCCAGAGGCACTCTATCACTGAGCTACATTCCCAACCTTTTATAAATTTTGAGTCAGGATGTCACTGAATTGCCCAGGCTGATCTTGAACTTGTGATTTTCCTGCCTCAGTCTCCTGCGTAGCTGGGACCACAGGCGTGTGCCACTGTGCCTGACTTGCTTCCATTCTTAACAGCAGAAATCTCTTAGGCAAAGAAGAGTATAATACATGTACAGCTTACAGAATTGGGTTTGACTTTGTAAGTTGTCAGTAGTCCTGCAAGGTAAACATGGCCCTCATTTGCAGAGGCTCTGGGTGGTGAAGGAGCTTGTCAGGACCACAGAACTGGCCAGGGAGAAGCTCCAATTCTCACCCTGGTCATGCCTCAATCTTCATTCTGGTCATGCCTCAGACCTCCTGGCCCGAGGAGAGGGCCCCACAGCAGGCAAGGATCTGCCTTAGTACTCAGTCCTGTAGACTCAGGAGACAAGAGACAGGGTGGGGTGGTCTGGGGAAGCTTCCTAAAGGTGGAAGGGTGGCCATCTGTGAGGGACACAGGTGTGGGACATCATGCTAGATTTGAGGAAAGTATTGCAAGATGGGCCAGAGAGGAGGGTGTGTGAGGTGGCCCAGGGGCTGCTGAGAGACAAGACGGAGCGCAGAATCCAGGGAAGGCCGAGGTGGGCCCAGGCTGCTGACTCCTTGCTGGAAGCCTCTGGGCTCAGTGTTGAAGGTACCTCTGCCCTCGCCCATGGCCTGGTGAGCAGACATGCAGGGACATGTGTCTCTTCTCCCCACAATACCCCTATGCCGACCACACAGGTGCACAAGCAGAGCTCCGGCCCACACTGTGGTGCCTCATGAGGCCACCATCTCCCATGCCACTGGGCAGCTCCCATCTCACTAGACAGAAGAGGCCCAAGTACCTGGAGGCCTGAGTTGGGCAGACTGTTAGATACCATCTGTCCAGAGCTGCATGGTCCCTGAAAGTCTGTCCTCCCTGACCCCATGCCACCACCACAGATGACAGACAGAGAGCCCCATCTGGACCCTATCTAGACCCAGGGAAACAGGTCCAGAGAAGACATGGGGTCAAAGGCCAGCATGCCATGAATCCAGGGCTTCTCTCCTCAGTTCAGGGCCTTGTGTTGTGAGGCGGAGGCTGGCTTCCGGGGCCTGGGTTCAGGGAGGGGTTTGAGGCTCCTTTTTGCCTGTCTTGAATCAATGAGTCGGTGGGGACATTATTAAGCCATGAAAAGGGTCCAGAGGTGGGCATGGGACAGTGCCAGAGAAGTCTCATTGACCCTTTCACATCTAAGCCCCTTCCCTGCCCCAGTTCCCTGTCTTCTGTGTCCTTTGGAGTAAAAGCCAAGGGCCCCCTGTCAAGGGCACAGCCTGTGTGCTCTGGATCCTTACCTCCTGACCCTCACCCCACCACGTCCCCTGTTTAGTCCTCCCCTGTCCTTGGACACCAGGCACACTGTGACCTGGGACTTCTGCCCTTGCTGATCCCTCTGCCTAGAACTCAACCTTCTTCACATCTCAGCTCTGATGTCCCTTTCTCAGTGAGGCCTTCCCTGACTACAGTCTTGAGAGTCACAGTGGCCTTTTCTGCTTTCTTGGTGTCTGTAGAACTGGCAGCCGTGGGGCCTACTGCGCATCACACCCTTGCTGGCCGGCCTCTTGCTGGATAGCGGCCTCTATGGGACAGGGACCTCCCCTCCTGCCCACAGCACACCCAGGGCCTAGGACCATGTGGCCACAGTGCTGGGACTCAACACCCTCTTGGGGAACGAATGAGTGACAGCTGTGGGGAGGGGCAGTGGCCAGGTGTGTGGGGGCGAGCGAGCAGCCTCCTCCCTAGGGCAGGTCTGAGGCCCAGGGCCCTGGCCTGTCCCCGGAGGAGCCAGCTTCCTGCCTCCTCTGCCTTCAGGACCCCTCCTCCCAGGCAGGGCACACCTTCCCATCTGGGCTCTCAGGCCCTGACCTTCCCTTAGTAACCCTTATGTTCCACTCTTTTTGGTGAAAACTTCCAGGTAGGCACAGTTCTCTGGCGTTTGGTCAATGCTCACGAAGGCCCTTGCAGGTGGGTTTATGCCTCACTTCTGGAGCCAATACTCGGCAGCAGCCACCAAAATACTTTTAGCACTTGTGGGCTCTGCTCCAAGCACTGGCCTAGGTATGATATTGATATTGAGCTCATCTGTCTTCATGATAACTTTTGATGTGTCAGAGAGGGTGACTAACCAGAGTCACACAGCAGATAAGTCCATGACCAATTCTCAGGCTCCTGTAGCTTATGGAGACTAGATTCTAGTAGGGGAGACAGGAGTGGCTTCTAAAAGCCATGTGATAAATAATCTCAAGTGTGATAAGGCCTGTGGAGAAAAATGAAGCCAAGGGGAGGGGTGAAGATTGACAGAGGACCCTCCTATAAGCTGGTGGTCAGGGAAGGCCACTCAGGCCAGGATGCTGTAAAAGGAGGGAAAAATTACAGGATGGGCCAGGGCAGGGGACTTGCCCTCTGGTGGAGGGGTCTGCTACCCAAAGGCCTGAAGTGGAAATGACCAAGTTTGACTGCCCTTGGCCAGAAAGAAGATCTGGTGGCCTCAGAGAATGGGTGAGAAGGAAGACGCTGGGAAGCCTGGCAAGAGCCAATCGTACCTGTGGCCTGGGTGTGAATTTGAAGTTCACTCAGGAGACGGAAGCCACCTTGGTGGAGGAGAGGAGCAATATGCTTTGGTTCCCTTTTTGTCTTTGTGGTGCTGGGAATGGACCTTGGGCCTGGGGGAAGGTAGGCAGGTGTTCCACCCCTGAGCTGCACCCAAGCCCCGGCTCCATTTTCAAAAGCTTGCTCCAGAGGCTGTGTGGAGAGTGGGGTGCAAGGTAAGCATGGAGACAGGCCAGCCAGCAGCCACGGGTGAAACCAGGGTAGGCGTGGCTTGGAAGTAGAGCTGCAGGTCTGGGATCCTACCCAGCAGACGCCCAGAGCTTGCAGCTGGGGAATGAGGGATTGGGGGCCAGAAAAGGTTGGGGTCAGCTTCATTTGTTCCTGGAGCTCCCAAGGGGCTGGTCCCAACCCTGTTCTTCCCTTCCCAGAGGCTCCAGAGAAGCCATCAAAAGAATTGCCTATGAGTTTGTGGAGATGAAGGCCAAAGAGGGCGTGGTGTATGTGGAGGTGCGCTACAGCCCACACCTGCTGGCCAACTCCAAAGTGGAACCAATTCCCTGGAACCAGGCTGAGTGAGTGACAGCCCTGGAGTGGGGGGGGGGGGGCTGGGCTGAGGGTGTCTATGCCACCAATCTGAGGTCAGAGGGCAGGACCACTGGGAGCTCCTGAACTTGATCTTGGTCTTGATCCATGGCCTCATGAAGATGGGCTTAACGTGGCCATAGAGATATGGTCCCCCTCCCTCACCTGGAGGTTCATGATTTACTCTGGACAAAAGTGTTGGCTGTGTCTCACGCCCATGGCTCTGGATGCAGGCCTGCTGTCAGGGCAGGCTAACCCACTTAGCCAGCAGCTCTAAGGGTCCTGCTCAGTCCCCTAGTAGGAATGAGTCTGGCCTGTTCTTCCCCCACACTGGGCCCCCGGGGATTTAGAGTGACATCATCAAGCCCGCTTGCCCCACCTTCAGAGCCTCGATTCTGATCCCCGTGGAAGGCAGTAATCCCCAGGCTGAGCTTCGTCATGCTCTATTTCCATCCAGAGGTGGAGAGGGGTGGCCCGCACCCCCACACCGGGATCTAGAAGTGCCCAGACTGCTCTAAGAAGGCTGGCAGGGGGTGCTGGGGCTCAGGGTCATCTCTGTGAGTCTTTCCTCAGAGGAAGTGGGCAGTGGGGGAGACTCCCCACCCCTCGGTAGGGGCTATCCCAGGCCTTCCCTCTGCCTCAGGCTATCACTACTCCTTTCCACACAGAGGGGACCTCACCCCAGATGAAGTGGTGGACATAGTGGGCCAGGGCCTGAAGGAGGGGGAGCAAGACTTCGGGGTCAAGGTGCGATCCATCCTGTGCTGCATGCGCCACCAGCCCAGTGAGTACCATCAGTGCCTGCCCAGCTGCCCACCTGACCCTGGCCCCAACCTTCTGCTTGGCCATGGGGCCGTACATGGCCTCCTCTGTGCCCCTACCCCATGGTATCCCATGAGCACATCAGCAGGGTCCTGGAGCTCCCAAAGGCTCCAGAGGCCTCCTAGGCTGGCTCCGAACTTCCTGGTGACACCCTCCTCCCCAGGAAGACCAGACCTTGACAATTATATGACCTGCAGAAAGCTCAAAACCAGAGGAGCCTGAACAATTGAAAATAAACAGCCCATAGTTCTCCCATGAGACCCTGTGGGCCCAGCCTCATCCTGTCCAGGCCACAGAACCCTTGCATGGGCCTGATTTCTGGGATTGCTGAGAGGACACCCTTGTCCCTGAACCTGATCAAATCTTTAGGGCTTTAGCTTCTTGGAGCAGAGCCCCATCGTGTGCCCTTAGGCAGGCAGGTCACATCACCTCCCTGGGCCTCAGTGACATGTTATCACAAGAGGATCATGCTCGTCTCATCCCTCCACTGTAAGAATCTGTGGGAACAAAGCCAAGGGTCAGTGCCAACCTGCAGGGCCCACCCTGGGCAGCGATTCACATGCCTTGTCTCTAGCCCTTGCAGCAGCTCTGAGGTGGGACTACCGTGGTTTATTCCCATCTGACAGATGGGAAACCGAGGCAGAGAAAGGCGAAGCCTCTTGGCCCCTCAGGAAGGCACAAAGCCCTGAGTTAAATCCAGAACTGTGTGGTTCTGAAGCTTGTGTTCATTTATTCTTTGTCAACATAACAAAACGACGACAGGCTGAGGGTAACTCATGCATTCGTGGTATGGCTGGCAATACCAGTGTGAGTTGCATTGGAGATACAATGTTAAGCTCTGTGTCATCCCCTTTAATTGGGGGGACTGATTGGCATTGAGTGGGGGAACAGCTCAGACTCTGTCCTTGGTACTTTATACATGGCCTCGGCAAAGCCTCACCAGGCCCCTGTGCAGAGGTGGTGGGTTCTCTGGGAAGGGAGGAGTCCGAGGCGCGGAGCAGTGCAATTTGACAAAGGCCATGTGGTTGACTCAGCAGCCAGGATTTGAGACAAGACACTGGGATCTTCGTCCTGTGCTAGCCTCCGATGGGTGCATAGGACAGCAGGTAGGAGGGCTGAGGGATCCCGCTCCACCATGCTGCTGATGGAGCCCTGGTGGGCGTCTCGCCACAGACTGGTCCCTGGAAGTGGTGGAGCTGTGTAAGAAGTACCAGCATCATACTGTGGTGGCCATCGACCTGGCTGGTGATGAGACCATCAAAGGAAGCAGCTACTTCCCGGGGCATGTGGAGGCCTACGAGGTGGGCCCGTGGAAGGGGAGGCTGGCCCTGGGTGAGCTTGTAGGAAGAACTCACACAGATGGGGAGTGTGGGGCCTGCTGCATCCCTAAATGTGTCTTGGCTGGGCTGGGGGCTTGGGATTGGGTATAAAGCAAAGTCCTATGTAGCACTGAAATCTTGTGTTTAAACCTGCATCTGCCTATGATTTGCTGTGTGACTTTGGGGCAAGACTGTCTCTTCTCTGAGTCACTGTTTCCTTGGTTCACACTTGCTGGTTGGCCTTTGTCCTGCTACTTAGCTCTTCTGAGCTTGTTTCCCCTTGGTAAGTTGGGTGTTATAATACTATGACTCTCAGATGGTTTATACAAACCATTTCAAACAGTTCCCGACACATGGTAACTGTGGAAGAACTGAGAGCCACAAGCACTTAGATGGTGATTGGGGGAATCAAGACCAGGCTGCCCAGTGCTGTAGAAGCAGCCAAGCCTGGTGGTGGGGACAGTTCAACCTGCCCATACTCAAACCCAAAGTGCAGCGAAGGGTGGGCCTGTGGGCCACCCCTGACTGGCTCTTCCCCTTCCAGGAGGCGGTAAGGAGCGGCATCCACCGCACCGTCCATGCCGGAGAGGTGGGCTCTGCAGAGGTGGTCCGAGAGGTGAGAGCCACTGGCCCTGGAGTGGCCCTTGTTCCCTGCCTCCCGCCACCCTCTCTCCCTACTCAGCTCCATCTGCTGCTCCACAGGCTGTGGACACACTCAAGACCGAGAGGCTGGGACATGGCTACCACACCCTGGAGGATGAGGCCCTCTACAACAGGCTGCGGCAGGAAAACATGCACTTTGAGGTGAGGGGGCCAGCAGGTAGGGGGAACCGGCCTTGGCTGTCCCACCCCCTCCTGGACAGAGCAATAGAAAGCCAGGAGAGTAGGTCTGGGGTTGTGGCTCAGTGGTGGAATGCTTGCCTAGCATGTGTGGGGCACTGGGTTCGATCCTCAGCACCACATTAAAAAATTTTTAAATAAAGTTCTTTAAAAAAATGCAAAACAGTGGTTTAAAAAGAAAGAAAGAAAGAAAGAAAGAAAGCCAGGAGGGTCTCAAGAGCTGAGGAGCAGACTAGCCGGCAGGAGCGGCCAGTGGGTGTTCCAGTGCTAGGCATGGAGGGTTTGTAGGGCTCAGCCACACGGAGACCAGCAAGAATGGTGACCCTGGCCACCCCAGGGTGCAGGGACAGGGTGGCACAGCCTGGGGCTGCCTGCCAGCCACGAACCTGCTCTTGCAGGTCTGCCCCTGGTCTAGCTACCTCACAGGCGCCTGGAATCCAAACACGGAGCACGCAGTCATTCGGTGAGGTCTAGTCCTGGGATCCATTTGATTTTGTTCCTGGGAAGCCAAGGATGGGAAGGCAGTGCAGGGCTGGGGACCGGCCCACGCTGTGGGATCCCTTTGGGAAGCAGCTTAGCTGTCCTTACCTTCCACACGGGGAACCTGGAACTCAGATGTGCTAGAACTTGGCTGAGGTCACCCACCTACCCTCTGGCAGAGCTGGGGCCCATAGCTCCCCCAGTCATGGCAGAAAACGCACAACCTGGAGGAAAACTTCCACTCTCTTCTTCCTGGGCCTCCAAGGTCAGTCTTGCCTGTGTACGCTGCTCCTGGGGCCTCGGGGTGCTCTTGGTTCCACTTTCCCTGCTCTCAGGCCAAAGCCCTTCTGTCCTGTGACTGAGTGCTGGCAAGTGGTGTCAGAGATCCAAGCTGCCTTCCCTTGAGGAGGATGAGGACAGCCATAACTCAGAGTGACTATGGCGGCCAGTGCTGGCCTGCCTGCCACGCTTAGTGAAGGGAAGGAGTGTGTGATGGCGAGGGTCCCCAGCTGGCCCTGGGAATCTGGAGTCGAGATGCCCCAGTAGGGGCTTCCCGGGGCATGTGGGCAGACAGCCCGCAGGCTACGAAGGCTCAGGAGCCATCTGCACAGTCATGGTGCCTAAAGGGGAAGCAAAGACACCAGGAGATCGTGGAGCCAGAGGCTAGGAGAGAACCCAGGAGGATTCAAGGGGCAGGAAGAAGACACAGGTAGATGGAAAACCAAAAGTGTCAACAAAAATCTAGGGAAAGCACTTCAAGTAGTATCAAATTCTGCTACAAAAGGGGGTCTGGGTTGTGGCTCAGCGGTACGGCACTCGCCTAGCACCTGCGAGGTTCAATCCTCAGCACCACATAAAAAAATAAATAAAACAAAGGTATTAAAAAACTAAAAACTAAAAAAGAAGTCAAATAAGGGAACAGCTAGGAAAACTCCATTACATTTAATAAGGCAGGGGTCAGGTCAGGGATGCTGCCAACAGGGGAGTGGAGGGAGGGGACTGAGGACTGGTTGGGGAAGGGTGTGGAGCACCGTCCCTGAGCATGGGCAGGAGGATGGTGGCTGGAGGGCCACTGCTTTCTCAGCGCCCCAGCCCCCACTCTCCCTGCTCTCCCATCAGGCCCTTCCTCTGCCTGGCTGGACTGATGGGATACATTAGGGTCTAAAGTTGCTAGTTAGGTGGCTTTGGACAAAGTCCCCTGAGCTCTGTGATGTGTTTCCTACTCTACCAGAATATGCTCCTTCAGGTCTAAGGCTGTGACGATCAGTGGGGGCTGGGAACCAATATGCAGGGACCATTCACAGGAGAGTGAGGAGGCTCTTCTCCCTCCCTCACCCCAGGTTCAAGAACGACCAGGCCAACTACTCACTCAACTCAGATGACCCGCTCATCTTCAAGTCCACCCTGGACACTGACTACCACATGACCAAACGGGACATGGGCTTCACCGAGGAGGATTTTAAGCGACTGGTGAGTGGTTGTGAGCTGTCACTCTTGCCCTGGGCCTCAGGGCTTTGTAAGGCCTGCAGGTCATGTCCAGGGCTTGGGACCCCCCAGGGGGTGGGAGTGGGTTTGTTGATGGGAGTCCACCATAAGCCAAGCCTACTGCCAGCTGCCTTCTGCAGAGGGACACCTTGGTGGTGGAGTCTTGGGTTTAGCCTCTGCTTGGGCCGAGCATCTTCAAAGATTCCCTTCCCCAGAATGGTGTGCCTAGCTGTAGAAATGTGTTCTTAGATCCCAGGCTGAGCCCGGGATCTGGGGACGTGATGCCATTACTCCCTGCAAGGGTCTCTGGCCCCACACTTCCAAGGATCTCCCAGTCTCCAACCTTCTCCGCACATCCTGTATCATGTAGTGCCACTTTAAGAACACTCTGCTCTGCCACTTGCTGCCATGTGACCCTGGACAAGCCCTTCCCCTGAGCTTCCCTGCCCATGCTCTAAGGAGGATGGATTACCAGTAGGTTGCCAAGGGCTCCCTTCCTTGCTGTCTGGTTCTATATGGTCTGTCACCCTGGCCCTTCTAGAACATCAATGCAGCGAAGTCCAGTTTCCTCCCAGAGGATGAGAAGAAGGAGCTCCTTGACCAGCTCTACAGAGCCTACAAGATGCTGCCACCTGCCTCTGGTATGCTCCTATCTGGGCAACTGCCTTACCCTAGCTCTACAACTTTCTGTGACTTCTACTAAGAACCCTTCTTCTCTCGGGCAATAAAAAGAATGGGCAATGAGTGCCTGGCTCCTGGGCCAGGGTTGGTGACAGCTTCAACTGATGGGTTTATTTCTGTAGAGCCAGCCCAAGGGCAGACTTGTGAAGGCCAGTCCCAAACTCCAGGCATCTCTAAGGCTGTCTAAAGCCAAAGCCCAGGAGTTTTGGACCAGATCCTGGCTCATTCTGCTCCCTCCTTCCTGTGGCCTTGGAAAGGCATCTACTTATTCTCTTTGCCATCTAAAGAAGGGAGCTCCTTCCTGGTTTTGGAGTTCTCTGAGTTTTACAGTATCCAGGGACTGTGAGTGTTGGCCTGATCTTTCTGCTTCTCTGACCTGACCAGCAGGGCAGAACCCCTGAAGACAGCATGGCCCGCTCTCCAAGCCCTCACCCTGTGGATGGAGTCTTCACAACTCTGGGATCAAGCAACTTTCTTACCTGTAATCCTTCCAGGAAGACGGATTTTAAAGCTACTGATGCTCTCAAGCCTGTATAAACATAGAACTCGGCATGGATGCATCTCTCTTCTGATTATGTGCCTTGGCCAGGGGCCAGGGCCCTTGCCAATGGCATGGATGATTCTGAAACCCTCCCCCTAAGGCAATATTTCCTGAAAATCTGGTGCTCAATAAAGCAGCTGGTGTCTGATATCACACAGCCTGTGGTGTGTGCTGCTGTGGTCTCGGGCGGGTGACCTGATAGTAGGAATGAAAGGAATTCCTGGGACAAGCAGCAGGGCCCAAGGGCCTCATAGAGGCCTCAAATGGGAAGCTGGGGCATCCAGTGCAGGAGCCCAGGTTCTTCCTCCAGAATACACAAGGCTCCCACACTCCCACTCTACTCTAGGATTCAAGGGGAACCATGCTTTCAGGTTCTTGAAGCCGGGAATGGGGTGAAAGAGGGTGAGGCAGAGGAGGACTCATCAGAGGTCACCACCTAGGAGTGTGCTGGCAGCCACATCTTCTCAGTAGCTCACTGGGAGCCTGGTTGGCAAGGGAGCCCAGCTGACTGCAAACCCTGGAAAACAAAGCTTGCTCCTGCTTTGCTGTTTAAAAAAGAGAGTACCTGAACCAAGTCACACAAATCATTATTTATTTCCTGGGGCCTAATTGTCACTTATTTTGGTAAAAAGGGCACAGAATTGCTCATTTAGTTTTGAGCCCAAATTTTTCTAAAACCGGATCTGCGAAGCTCCGTGTGGGAAAGCCCAGAGCAGCACAGACGGTCAATTGAGCTTAAGATGGCTTCCAGAAAATGTGCAATGATTGTCGGCTCCCTTTCTCTCTCCTGAAAAAAGGTTTGAAGTTTTTAAAAAGTTTAAAAGTATTTTTTTAAAAAGGGATAAGAAGGTCTTGACTGAGAAGGCTAGGGTTGGAAAGGAGGGGTGCTGGGTGGGATATGGTCCCTGTCCAGGCCCCCCTGAAAGAAGTGTGCCCGTGTCGGCTGTTCCCAGGTAGGCAGGATGTGGCCCATGCCCAGTACCAGCTGAATAAATAACACCCCATGGGTACAGTGTCTCCAGATGTGCCTGGGCTCAGTGAGAAGGAGGGGGACAGGTTGGAGCCCAGGGGTGTCGGCAGAGGGCTTGTCCAGAATAGGGGCCATGGAGGCCTCTGAGGGGCCTCTCAGGCTAGCCTGTCTGGCCTGGGACATGGGCTCAGAGAAGAGGTTGGGCCAATGCCAGGGTTCATTTCCATAGGGGACAGCAGGCTCTCTCCAGCCTCCATGGATGAGGCTGGACTCAAGGTGAAGCGGTCCCATCGCTGCTTTCAGGTGGCTTGCTGGCCTCCTTGTCTGCGGTGCTGGCCTCTGCCTGACCTTCTGGAGGAGAGAAGGAAGAGTGCATTTTCTCAGGCACTTTTACACACATGGAAAGCACAGAAGGGAACGGCTGGCAAGCTGATAATGGCGGCTAGCCCGGTGGAGTAGGATGAGGATGATGGCGGCCAAAGGGGACTTCAGCCTGCACTGTAATATCTTACATCTCACCACATAAATGCAGTGTCACTAGTGAAATTAAAATTCAATTCGAGCCAGGTGCGTGGTGGCGCACCCAGTGACTTGGGAGGCTGAGACAAGAGGATTGAGAGTTCAAAGCCAGCCTCAGCAGTGGTGAGGCACTAAGCAACTCAGTAAGACCCTGTCCCTAAATAAAATACAAAATAGGGCTGGAGATGAGGCTCAGTGGTCAATAGCCCCTGCGTTCAATCCCTAGTACCACCCCTGCCCCCAAAAGAAGAAGAAGAAAAGGTCAATTAGAGGTCAGGATTGTGCACCAGTGCTAAGAGCACAAGACAAAAGGCTAATGAGGGTCAATGCACCTGCGCAGTTTCCCAGAGGGAGCAGGTGCCGGTACAGGTGCTCAGCAAATGGGAGCTGGTCCTGAAGGCACTGAACCAGGCCAGCTGAGGAGTGCCAGGGATGGCCTGCATCACGGATTGGGGGTCTGATGGCACATCCTGGTGTGCATCACACTGCTGGTGACTTCCCCGATTCCCTCACCCCATCCAGCTAGAAACCTGGGCTGGGCGGGGATGAGGGCGGCAGCAGCCTAAGGAGCCACTTGTGCCATGAGGCGGGTGTGAGCTGGGTCTCCTGACTCCCAGCTGCTTTTGTCCCACTGTGGAAAGTGGGAGGGGAAGGCCCTGCCAGCACCCCCTTCACCAGCAGCGGAGGTGAAGTACCATTCACTCCCAGTACCCCCAGTCTCTGTGTCCCCGCTAGCAGGGGCCCACACAGGGCTGGTGTGCATGCAAAGCTCAGTCAATGGTGCAGTTTGTTCTTTTCAATATCGAATGAACCCAGGGCCTCCACGTGTTAGGCGAGTCCTCTACTACTTAGCTCTACCTCCAGCCCCAGTGACGAACTGTGAAAAGTCACCAGGTGCCCTCCAAGCTAAGGGCCTGCACGCAAATATAGTCCCATAGGACACACTTCCATCTAGGGCTCTCAGGCTAAGCCCCACCTGTGACTAAGGAGATCCCCCCCCCCAACTCTATGCTAAGTTTTGGGCTCTGCACGGGCCCTTTCCCACACGATCCACATGGCGACCTGCAGGTGCAATTATGGTTATGATGCGTGTGAAAAAATGTGGCTCAGAGAGGTGAGCTGCCCTGCCTGGATCAGGGTGGAGAGCACCTGCATGCTGCCAGAGCTGGTAAAATCCACCCTCTAAGAGCACAGTGCTCTGCAGTCCACCAAGGCCAAGGTCTGCATGACCTCACCCTGCCCTCAGGCAGCTTCAGGACAGGAGTGCTAGTTAGGTGGTGACTGTGTGGGCAGAAGGTGGCAGTCTGGCTCTCCAGCCAGTTCTGACCTCTGCCCCCAGGTTCCCTTACATCCTGTGATGGGATCTAACAAGGGCCTGGCCCTTCAAGGCTCCTCTGGCCTCCAGAAGCCTGACCAACTAGATGGCACTTTAGGTGACATTTCTACCATGTGACACCTTACTTGGCTCTGAGCTTCCTGCCCTGGCGAACAGGTCCCCCCTGTTCTCTGCTCTGCTATTCCTCTGCTGTGGGACCTCAGACAAGTCACTTGATCTCTTTAAGCTCTGCCTCCTGAGCTATAAAGCAGGATGGCGACACTCCACTCAGACCACAGGGGCTGGGGCCGTCCACAGTCATCTGGCATGTGGGACTGAAATAGGCTCAACCATTGGTGGCTTCGTCTGTGCCAGCCTTGGGTCCCTGGCCAAGAGAAGGCTCTCCAGCACTTCCTGTTGCACTAGCACCCCTGGCCTCCCTCAGGAGCAGCTGCAGAGTGGGATCAGGAATGCTGACCATGGAGGGCAGACACTGGCTTCTCCACGCCTGGCCTGCTGCTTCTCTCATTATTAGGCATAATAAGGAAATATCTGTGCTCTCTACATAAGAAATACCAAGAAAGACGGAAGGTTTGTGCACAGCTGCTGCCTGGGCTAACATACATGAGCAGGCCCCAGACTTGGGGAGGCCGGGCAGCTGCAGCTTCTTCCCAGCCCTAGCTGCAAATTAGCCTCCTGGAAGCTTTAAGCAGGAGAGGCTGCTCTGGGTCCCAGCATGGGCCTGTTGGGTCAGGACCTCTGAAGTAGTGCTTGGAGGCTCTGACTCAGTGAGTCCCGGGACTTAGCTCAGTCCAGACCCGCCTGATGACGCTGCTCACTGAGGCCTCCTGTGAGGGATCTTGGACAGTCACTCCTGCCTGGACTCCACTGTGAGTGCTTCACATTCTTACAATGTTCTGTCCTCATGTCTCCTTCCCAAAGGTCAGTCACTCTGGCAGACAAATGTCATATACTTAAGGACCCAGACACTTCAAGGATTCTGAGTCAGACAGTACAGACCATGTTAGAAGGACCTGGGTGCATGGCAGAGTAGCCACAAGGGCTGGAATGGGGGGGGGGGGCAGACAAAATTTACCAGAGCTGAGGGGGAGGACACAGAAGCCTTTAGGGAGCCCCTGGCAATGCGCCCAGCATGACAGTTGAGCATGCTGTCCGTTCAGCTGGCAGGGAGCAGCCATTGAGTAAGCATCTTCCACGTGCTGACCACTGCCAGGCACTGCAAGCACACTGGAGCAGCTTAGTGCAGGGGTGGGGGGGCAGCTGTGGTAAGGGGTCTAAGGAGGTTGCCCACACAAGGGGGCCTCTCTCTGAGGGGGATGTGGTCAGGCAAGGCCTCTCAGCAGAGCAGGTGTCTTCACAAGTGAGAAGCAGCCAGGCAGGGGAGGAAGGAAGAACCAGACAGAGGAGCTGATAGGGCAGTTTTGAAAACAAAACTTTTTTCTGTCTGGATAGGGAGGAAGTGAGAACTGAGGCTGAAGAGGGGAGCAGGATGGCAGCTGAGGTGGCGTCCACACCTGGGTAAGGCACTTGGGCCACATCACCAGGGAGAGCCTGCAGACCTTCAAACAGGAGGTGTGGGTGCGTGGGGTTCCTGCAGCAGGGGTCAGGGGTTCTTTCTCGAGGTAGAAAGACTATCAGGATGACCCTGAGCAGGCCACCCAGCAAGTTAATATAGTTCCCTGGGCCTCAGTTTGTCCACCTATAACATGAGAGTTAGGTTCTGAAGTCTTCTGTTTTGTCCCTGTAGGTTATTTCTGGGCAGCAAGGACCAAGAACTCTAGGCTGAGGCTCTACAGAGCTAGGCAAGACTATGGCTTCCTCCTGGCCTCCTCACACCCACTCCCACCCCTCCCCCAGCTTGTTACTGTAGCCAGCAGAGTTCCTTCTAACCATCCTATAAGCATTGCCCTGGAGAGGTGGGTGCAGATAGCCCAAAGCTCCAATGCCCTGTGGGAAGTGATGTGATAGTCACGACCTTGGCCTTGGAGGTGCTGTGGAAGCCTTTCTCAGAGGAAAGGGCCCTGGCCAGGGCAGGGGCCAGGGAAGGCTTCCCAGAAGAGCCCAGAGCAGACAGGTTGGACCTGAGCCCAGCAGGGTTTTCTGGGAGGATGGAGGGAGACACAGAGGAAGTGGAGTGTCCCAGACAATACTTGAATGGTACATGTGACCTTTCCTCTGGGCCTTTCTTGGCCTGTGGTCACCAAGCACCTGCTGTGTGCCAGGCAGAACAGGCCCCTGCTATTTCGGAGCTGCTACAACAAATGAGACCTTGTCTGAGGGTGAGGAGAGTCACATGGCTGGGGAGGAGGCTTTAGCTGTTAGGGGCGCTTTTCAGAGCATCTGCCCTCTTGAGCTTGGGACCAAGGACAAGAGGACAGCAGCCCCAGCTCCAGGAGAGGGGAGGGAGATGTTCTAAGCTGAAGATGGGTAGAAGGGACCCTGCTGGCTGTAGGGGTGGGCTGGAGGGTGGGGGAGTGGGTACAGGGAGGCCGAGAAGTGGGGTAGTGGCCAGCGCCCAGTGGAGGGAGCTGAATGTATCCTGGAGGAGAATGACAGGACCGGTGAGTGGACTGGGGAGAGGGAAGGGAAGTGCCCTGGATGCCCGGCCAGGGAGTCTCTGGGGCCTGAGATGCTGGCACTGCCAACCTAGAGACTGGCTGGTCTCTGCCACTGTCAGCAGGACTGACTGGAGTGCAGCTGCTTCTCTGAGGAAGAGGGGTAATCTGGGACGCGGGTGCCAGCCTCTCCCCTGCCAGGACCACTGGATCTGACCTGCCCCCTCAAGTGCCAGCTCGCCCATGTCTGCAGCCAGCTTCCGCATGCTCACAGCCTCTGAGTCACCCTGGATGTCAGGGACGGCATTCCGACGGCCTGTCCGGTCACAGGAGATGAAGTCCGAGTAGGAGGACTCGACCTCCATCATGCCTGTTGCATCGCTCCTCGGGCCTGTGGGGACAGGGGGCAGGAGGGCAGAGGTGAGGCAGAATGACAGCTACTGCCTTTTTCACTGCAGACAGAGCAGAAAGCACAGAAAATACAAAAAACAAAATCAGCCACCTATAACCCCCGACACAGCCAACCACCACCACCATCTCAAAGAACACAGCCTTTATTCTAAGGAAACATTGACACACTTATCAGTATCATGTGCCAGGCACTGGCTAGGTACTGTAGATGTAGCAGCAAACAAGTTGGCCATGGTCCCTGCCCTCACAGGGCTTATGATCTACCAGAGGCGGCATCCAACTACCCAGCACCTACATCAGGACCACAGTGCGCAGCCCTGTGAGGGAGAATGCAGGGTGCTGAGTGACTGCCAGGACCTGACCAAGGCTGGAGTTGGCAAAGTGACATGAACAGACATTTAGATGAAGAGTGAGAGGAAGAGCATCACAGAGAAGGAACATCTTCTCTGTGATGCACCTGTGAAGACTCTGAGGAAGGAGGGTATGGTGGGCTGAAAAGCAAAAGAGCCAGCAGGCTGGAGAATGGTGGGGCAGGGCCACTGGGGACAGTGCTGAGGTGGGCAGGGGTCAGACCACATCTGAAACTTGGACTCTGAGGGGTATCAGGCCAGGTTATGAATGATTAGCTGTGCGTTTCAAAGATGACTCAGGGTTCTAGCTGGAGCTGGGCCTGGAAGGAAGGAAGTTGGGAGACTTCCGTGGATTTCCGGTACAAGAAGACAATGGTGGAGCAAGGCGGTGGCGAGGCCGACTTGAGATGTAATTTGGAGGACAAATCCATAATAGTTATTGTTTGATGGGGAACTTAGGTTGCGCTTGAATAAGTAGGTGGACAGCAGTGTGGCTTCCTCAACAGGGAATGTCAGCAGAGTATCTGGGGAGTGAAGGCGAGTTCTGGGGGTGAAGTTAAGAGTTCTAGTTAGTGATGCCAACCTTGTATGGCCTGTGAGCCCTCCCAGAGGACAGGGGGAGTAGATACAGGGACCAAAGGGGCTGGCGCTCAGAAGAAAGATGGGGTATAAAGGGAGGAAAGAGATGAAAGAAGAAATCATTACTATTGAGATGGGGACTAACAGCCCTCGTGGTTGAGGAACAGCCTAGGAATGAGAAGAAGACAGCCACAGCTGTAAAGAAGAGCCATATACATTAAGAAGCATATGGCCCTGGGCTTGAAACACACCCCAAAAAAATTATCTGGGGATCATACTACACATTGTGTTTTATAGCCTATTCTTTGGAACAAAGACCTGACCCTCTCTGAGCCTCTAGTTCCCCATCTGTAAAACAAAAGCAGGGCCAAAATTCTGTGTAAGGCGATTCCCCTTCTATCCAGAAGATGGCGCACCTTGCATATCTTTCTTTGCTGCCTGAGGGGTGGGGGTTCAGGCTCCTCCTCAGCTAAAGAATTCCCAGAGGCAGTTCCTTCTGTAGGTCACAGTTTCACTTCAACCCTCTCCCTACGGGGAAAGTGCTCAAGTCTTCATATCACGAGAATGGGCTGCTGTAATAATGGTAACAATAGCATAACCACCAGTCCAAATTATGAGGACAATGCTAATAATAGCAAAGGTAGTGTGACCAGGAATTTATGCTTTGTATATTTCACTTAATGGCTGGCACAGCGTCTGAGCTAAGTTTACAAGCCTGAATGGGAAGGGCCTCAGCAGACCCTCTGGGTCCTAGGCCTAGGCTCTGCTCCCCTGTACCTGCTGCTCATGGGAAGGGTCTGACCCTGTCACACCACTATGTCCCCTGAAGCCTCGATTTCTTCAGCTCTTGTTCTCTGGTTAGAGTCAGCTCCATGAAAACAGGAAGCTTCTCACCATGCAAACAGACAGGACCAATCCCAGCAGCTGTGCTCTGGCTGCTCCATCCCTGCACCCTCCGCAGAGCAGCACCTGGGGGAGAGCAGCTGCTCTGTAACCGCTCCCAGGATCACATTTCATCTGTCTATCCATCCAGGCATCCATCCAGCCCCTCTGCCACCACCTCTCTAGGGATGATGGACTGTCTCCGCCTCAGGACCTGGGAAAGGCCTGCAGAGTGCTGCTCTTCTTGTCTGGTATCTCCAGGAGGATACCTTGGGATGGAGTTACAAGCTCATCTAAAATGCTAGCCTCACTCCGCGACAGACACCCTGGGGCTTTGTCCCGCCTGACCCTACAAGCTTCCCAGGACAGAAAGCTGCCCATCCTGGCACAGAGAGGGCACTCTGACAAGCTCAAAGCCCAGTCCTGGAACACACCCACCAAGCCATCTGGAGCTCACTCAGCTGCCCCCTCCCCATCTCTGCAGGGCCCTGAGAGCCCTCTGTTCCAAAGCACCAGTGTATCAGATTCTCATTTCTCTTACACATTTGTGCTCATATGTGCTCATATTCTGCTCTTTAAAGTTAAAAGCAAATGGGAAAATAAAAGAAAGAATCCTCAGAGTGGGATATTGTGCCAGCAAATGGTCACTCTCATTTTAGGGGTTTTGTTTTGTTGCTTGGTGCTGGGGTTGAAACTCAGGGCGTCACACAAAGCAAATGGTTATTCTCAAATCCTGTCATTGAGAGTGTAAACTACCAAGGACTTCTTTAAAAATGGCTTAACAATAGGAAACAAGAAACCTCAACTTTCTTAATATCCTTGAGCCATTAAGTCAGTTTATAATAATTTATTATAAGAAAATAATCCCAGTTGTGCATGAAAATAAATGTACAAAGATGTTCATTGCAATAATATTTAAAATTCCAGAACAACCAACTATAAAATGGAGAAATATATAAATATGCTAATTTATATTCAAATGAAGTATCATTCAGGTATTATGATGTTTGTGAATTTTTTGGGGGGAGGTACCATGGATTAAACACAGGGGCGCTCAACCACTGAGCCACATCCCCAGTCCTTTTTATTTTTTATTTTGAGACAGGGTCTCAATAAGTTGCTTGGGGCCTTGCTAAGTTGCTGAGGCAGGCCTTGAACTTGCGATCCTCCTACCTCAGCCTCTCAAGCTACTGGGATTACAGGTGTGTGCCACCATACCCAGCAATATTTTTAAAAGATATGAGGAAATCTTCACATATATTGTCAAATGGGAAAAAAAGCCTCAATTGTACAATCACATATTTAAATTGAGTAATTTTTAAATCTTTTATATTAAAAATTTTTTACATAAAAGCACTCATATCATTTTTAATTAATTAATTAATTATTGTGGTTCTGGAGACTGAACCTGGGAGCTCACACATGCTGTCATTGAACTACCTCCTTGGCCCCCAAATAATTTTTGACTATGTGTGAAAGTGGCATAAAGCTCAAAGGGTACAAGAGGAAAGACACAAGTATTCAGAATCCTCCCAGCCTACCCCAGACACCTTCCCCACGCAAGCCCTTTCTTAGATCCTTCCAGTCTATGACATCTCCAAATTCCCTCCTTCTTTCCTTCCCTTTTCTTTTATTGAAAACAATATTTTATTTTCCATCATTCTTTTTTTTCAATTAAAAATATGTTTTAGAAACAATCTCAAATCACCTTGAAACCACTGTAGTGTGATTGTATCAAGACACTGGAAATAAATCCTAAGTCCTTATAGAGCTAGATTGTTCTTCCTATTGGCTACAGGGTATTTTGTTGTCTCTCTACTGTAGACTGATTTAATCTCTTTCCTACTGATGGACTTTTAAGAAAAATTCCTCTTGGTTCATTTTGTGCACTAAAACAAAATATCTGAGGCTGGACAATTTATAAGGAACAGGAATTTCTTTCTCTCAGTTCTGAAGGCTGGGAAATCCAAGATTGAGGTGCGAGCATCCTCAATTTCAGGGTTTTGAGGTGATGGTTGCTGTCTGCTTCCAAGATGCTGCCTTGATTGTTGTGTCCTCCGGAGGGGAGGAACAGTGTGCCTCACATGTAGGAGGCAGGTAGAAGTGACAAAAGAGGCAGCCCCCCCAAGCCTTTTATAGGGGCATCTAACTCACTCACAAGGAGGGGTCCTCAGGGCCTTCCTCTCCACAGGATCACAGGGCAACACCTGGATGATGAACAGACAGGTGCAAAGCACAGCTTTCCCTTCACTGCTCTGTTTCATGGGTACCCTTATCCATGACATTTTGTATGGGTTTGTTTGTGACATGAGGGTGACAAACAGAAGCTGGTTCCTGTAGTCTGGGCTGTTCTCGCCTGCTTACCAGTCGGGCGACTCTGGACAGCTCCCCTCACCTCAGCAACCTGGGAACAAAGCAACAACCTGTGGCTCACGAGATTAAGGAGACAATGATGCTCCAGAGCCTGGTCAGGTGGGGGAGCGGAAGAAGCACGTGCGTGATTAATAGAACATTAGTCTCGTCCACTTGAGGGGGGAGAGACTGGGGAAACTGACCTTCTGATGCTTTTCCTCTGTGCTTAAAGGTGCCATTGAGACCAGAACCTATGGGTCCTTCTTCAGTGCCTCACTGAGACCCTTCCCCTTGCCCAGCTTCCTTCCCCACATCTAAATAAGGAAAATTGAAATGTGAGCTTTAAGTCCCTCTCCCAGCCTTGCCAACTCATTCATTCACTGACCACTAACATCCTCTTCATGCCTGTGCCAGGTGTAGGACACACCGGAGCCCAAACAAGACATTTATAGCCTGCGGCTAGAAGAAGGTAAAGAACAAGTAAATTCCTCAATTGTGGCAGATTATGACATGTGCGATAGAAGGACAGGAGAGTGTTCTGCTGTGTGGATGGTTTGGTTAGAGGTGGCATGGTCAGGGAAGGCCTCCTTGAGGAGGTGACTTTGAGCTAAAATGACAGAAAAGGTAGAGTGAGCCAGGAGCCAATCCAGGCAGAGCCCAGAGTCAGTGAGGCTGACATCTCTCACTTCAGCCTGAGCCTCCTGGGCTGCTAAGGAAAGAAGCCTCCTCTTCCTCATCCCTAGGGGGCGGTGCCTTTGTGGGGTCTGAATGCTGGTGGGGCATCTGACTGACCTTGGATGTCCAGGATGGAAGGGAA